ACATGTCTAATGTAAAATAATGTGAAAAATCTGTAACTGTAAATACAATTACTGCTTATTTAAAGAAATTTTCCTTTTTTTCGCAAATAAGTTTGCAAATCTATAATTTTTTTGCAGATATTTACTGTTTATTTAATAGATTCAACTGTTAATACTGTATTTATTCTGTAATTTTACATGGATTAGTTTGTTAATTGTCAGATATATATTTTAATTGTAATTTAATTTAAATTTAATTTGTAGTTTTCACAATAAAAATGTTGAATAAATGTTCAGTGTATAAGCATTAATAAACACACAATCAATTTCAAAACACAACGATCACTGAAAACAGCAATAATTACTACATTCAGCAGACTACATTCGATATAGTTCTCTTTATGCTACTTAGATATATAATAAAATAAAAAATTATAAATGTTTCATAAAATAAAAACAAAATTACTAGTTTGTATGACAAATTGAGTGAGCCGAATTCACAAGCAGGCTGAAATAATTAAGAATTTGTCATGGAAAGTGTTTCAAAAAGTTTATAAAGTTTGTCCTTTTAAGGGAGTCTGGGAATATTGTGGTTGCCAAACATCTGCTGATTATCACTGCAGGTAAGGAAGCCCAAACACGTCATTTGCATTCATGGCATCTCTCTTAATTTCATTTATTCTGTATTTGAGTGATTGTTTTACCTCCTGTATGTTTTGCTTTGCGCGGTAGTCGGATGGCTGCATGACGGCGCCCATCACTTTGGCATTGCCACAGACAACTAACGCCTCGTCGGGGGAGTCGGTGTTGATGCCCACTCGGCCTTGACAGACCACGGCGTCCTGCACCGCCCCACGCTGCCACAGTGCGTCCCCGTCCGTCTCAAACTGACCGGGGTTGGAAGCCTGCAGAGGGGTAAAGGCTGCAGCATTAATGGCAGAGATTTTGAGCGTCTGCGCTTTGATTGATGGTTAAAAGTCGGCGTCGTTACCCTGACGATGATTCTCTCTGACACCAGAGCTGTAATAAGGAAAGTTTCCTCTCCTGCCACTGCAGCATACAGACCAACGACCATCTGAAAGTATCTACAAACACACACACAGTTAGCATGTAGCCCTGTTCATTCATTCATTCATTCACATACTAACTCACACACCTCTGGTCGGGGTTGGGTTTGCCTTTTTTCCTCATGTTATTGGACGTCGTCTCGCTGAAGTGCAGTCGGCCGAGAGTTACCTTGGTGATTTTGCCGCTGGGCAGAGCCACCCTGAAGGTAATGGAGATAATTAATTGATTTTTAACATTTACATTTTTGTGTTTGTACAAATTATTTTTGTGTCACTTTTTTTGCCCCCTTGTGGTCAAAAACAGCATTCACAAACTTTCACAAACGATTATCCAGTCATACAATCGTAACTAAGCACAGGCTGTTTTGTTTCCTTGTTTTCTACTTGAATTATGATGATGAGGATTTTATGGACATGCAGCTACAGCCTCACCTCGAAATTCCACCGGGTATGACTTTATAACATCAATTAAAGCGTCTTCTAATCCCACAAGAGCGTCTTCAGACCACATTGTCTGCTATAAGTTGTGTATTTTGTCTTTAAAAAGGAAATAAAACAGTGTCTTCTGTGTTTCTAACCTGCCTCTGACTGATCGACTTTTGATCTGGTGCCACATTGTTAATATAGCGTGAAAGCAGATTCCAGTGCGATCCGCTTTGTGCTGCTTGACATGAGTGGGTCACCCTGGAACTGCTTATAAATACATCTTGGGTAATTATTCCCAAATCCTGCAGGGGACAGCATACAGACGCTTTGCCAACCCTTGTGGCAGTGCGGATCCAGGACCGTCTCCCACAGAGTGGATTGGATCAGAAATGGTGTTAAACAAGGGTATGTTTGGTGCATCTGTTATGTACCTGACTGGGTTAAAGGGCTTCTTGCTGCGGTCGGGCTGAGACTGCTCAATGGTCACCTGGTGGCTTGGAGATTCCAGCTGTGAGATGATAAAAACAGTCAACATCAATCAAGATATTAATGCTGCTGATAGATCGATAGAGTCTGTTTTATTGACAGTAGAGTTTTGATCTCACCTTAACCCCGAACACTTTAATCAGGAAGTGGTCGATCAACTGCGGCCCACTGGGCGTTTTGACATACTGCGGCTCTGCAGCTACGCCGATGTGAATTGTGACCTGGAAGTGATTCTTCTTCTGGCAGACGAAAGCCTCGTCAGCTGTGGAGTAGATGAAGCCTTTATCTGTGTCGACGTGGTAGGCAGGAGGAGACCTGGAAACACAGAAGAAAAGCAGTTCCTGATTTAAATGTAATATGAGTTCTTACATTATTCCAAATGTTTCCAACAATGTTCAAACTCAGAAATCTGTCATTTTATCCTCAAACAATTGG